AAGAAAAGAACGAAGGGCAGGGTTGGGTTCACGTATTATATATACATGAGATATTGTACATTGTATTTTATCAAAACAAATGTTTGTATAATAACAATTATACAACTAAACAACAACTATACAGTTTATAATTTGTATAGTTGTTGTTTAGTTGCATAATTGTTAGCTGCATTAGATTATGTGAGCATCAAAGTTGGGCACGTATTATACGGTATAATACATGAAAAAATAATATGCTTCCCTTCTTTTTTTTTTAAAAAGAAACGTGAAATTCAAAAATTCTTCATAATTATGTTTGCCGGGTCTCCCGATTTCAATGATTTTTTAATATAGTTTATTTAGTATAACATATTTTAATTATAGTATTTTTTAATATAGAAAACAAGATTTTAAATTCCTTTTTTCTTTACATATAATCGCCGTTTGAGTTAAGTTCCCGAGATATCCGCCAAAAACTGTTGTTATTTTTGCACTGAATCCTACCTATATGTGTTCCGCGGCAATCATTTTTTGGACATCGCGTACATTTCACAAGTAAATATTTTGTTTGTATCACACACTACCCAATAAACACAAATTAACAATAACGTAACATTAATTATAATTTTCCACTCAACAATGTAACTGCTATGTACAAGGCATGTTACATCGCAGTTACATTGTTGAGCGGGAAATTATAACATTAATGTTACGTTACTGTTACTTTGTGTTTACTGGGTATCGTACACGTGTATAGGGAGAGCTTTGCTTCTCCCCCTGCACCTCTCCAAAAAAGGAGAGCCTAACTTAACCCAACCTGTGTTATTACAATATCATTAATGTCACGATGCATAAATGTACGTTACTATATCACAATAACATTAGAGATTGGATTGGTAGGTTTTTTCAGGGAGGTGCAGGGAGAGGAGCTTTGCCCCTTTTCGGAGCCTTCACGCTTCCAATACGAACAATAAGAACATAAAAAAAGTAGTCTTGTTTTAATACTCTTGGTGGTGCAGAGGGAAACTTTTTGATAAACAATTTTTTTCAAGCTCCCCCGATTGATTTTTCATTTTAGTGATAAAATTAAGCGCTTTCTAAAAACCATAGATTAAAATAGCCAATGTGAATTGTAAAGGTGTGACCTCCGACTCTTGTAAGAAATTCCAATAAAAATCTCAAGTGAACGGCTATGTAGAGCCAATGCAGGATGTTGTGCAGATAATTAAATAAAAGGCTTTTAGATTCAAACGTTTCGACTATATTTTTAGTCCTTATCAATTGTTCTGTTAACATATTTCAAAGAAACAATGTTTGACAGTTGAAAGATTGGTTAAACACAAGTTATTACATAGCATTATAGAAAAAAATTTGTGATTTGTATGGTTCTTGTAGAAAAGTCAAGTAGTTGAAAACAGAAATTACATTGCAGTCAAAAATACAAAATATATATGATAGAGAACTATTGTAATCGATCAATTGCTCGTGAAATGATCAAAATAGTTAAAAGGCCGATACGAGCAGTAAAATACAGGTTGGTCGTGTATAAATAATAGTCTTTATTCAAAAAGCACAAACGTTTCAGTCCACAAGTTTGGACCTTCTTCAGTGTAACAAAGTTTACATCTAATAAGAAAAATAAAGAATAAGCGCAAAGTATACATCGTAGAAGAATATATATACACGCGAATTTATATATATATATATATACACTATTATTTATACACGACCAACCTGTATCTTACTGCTCGTATCGGCCCTTTAACTATTTTGTTTATTGTAATCGAGTTCGTACAGTGTTTATTTACTACTGATTGTAAGTCGTTGGTAGATATGATTGAATCTGATGTGACACAACGCTCTATCTGTATATGTTATAGATTGATTTTATCAGTTATCGATAAGTATGACTCATAAGTAAGAGATCAGTGTCTTTCATCAAATTCAAACCCTCTTTTTGTTTTTTAACATATACCATCTCTAAAGTTAGACGTTTAAAATAATTTAAGTTCCATGTTTAAAATCTTTGCAGAGTTCCAATTAAATTAAATTAAAAAATTTTAAATCATTTAAAAGACTACGTGATTTTATTCCATATTCACTGCTATCAGGATGATTACTCGCAAGTTAAATATGATTTTGAAAACTTTCAGGTGTTCTCAAAAGATTATCTTCTTATTTGCAATTTACTTTAATAAGATTTTTATGCGTCAAACATATTCTACAAGAAAAGTTAGCTTGAAAAGACTCAATCATACCGTACAGCATTGCTCCTCCTAAATTGTCGTGGTTTAATATTGCTAGAGTTCCTTTTATCGGATATTCGACTTCTTCAATGTAAAAGCCTTCTGTTTTCAAAATTCTTAAATCTTTTATTATTAATTCTAGAACTGAATTTATACCAAAATGTTTTATGTTTTCATTATAACATAAAACTAACAAATGAATATTATTTAAATTAGAATTTCAATAAAAAGGCAAATTGCATATTGAAAAATAAAATTCCTCAATTTTATAAGACAAAGTTTTTCTACCTAGAGGATCACTATTAAATTTCGAAGTCGTCAAAAAATATTTCTATTTGAATAGTAAATTTTCGGAATTACGAAATCGTTTATTAGTTTTTATACATTTCACCATCAACCAGATTATTGTACTTGCTACAGTTTAAGATCTTTTCATTGAAGGAATCAAATATATAATTTTTTTAAAAGAACTGTTTTGAAATACAAATTTTAAGGTTTCAATTATTGGTACGTAAGTAAATATACAGGTTGAAGAAACTGTTTTATAAATTCTTAATTGCGAATTAAACTTTTGTTCCATGCGAACTCCACAACTCTTTTTTATTAGTTTCACCATATGTTTTTTGTACTCTTCATGGCGTTTGTTTTGTTAAATACATTTCAAAAGAATTAAAAAATAATGACACAATTTGCTAACAAATAACGTTTGACTCATCTACATTATTGTAAATTTTTTCGAATACAGGATTTACTAGTTGAGATATACATTGTAATATTTTATCAGTCAATGTATCAGGTATACCAAAAGAATATAAATTTTATATAAAACTTAAGCTATTATCGATATCTTCAGAAATGTTATCAAGATTGATATGATCTACAAAATATAAATATTTTCAAGATTTCAATACAAATAATGAAGATATAAGTACAAAATTATTTTGTACTTATATCTTCATTATTTGTATTGAAATCTTCATAAATATTTATATTTATGAAGATTTCAATACAAATAAAAGATTTAAATATAAATAATAATAAATGAGTTAAATATAAATATTTATGAAGATTTCAATACAAATAATGAAGATATAAGTACAAAATAATTTTTTTGTTAAAGACATTTTATAAATATTTATATTTAACTCATTTATTATTATTTATATTTCAATCTTTTTTAATATTGGAACTACAATTATAGGCTGAATTTCTGTCAAATCATTTGAATTATCAGTATAGACTGTTTCAATGTTTAGCTTACATTTAGCTAAATGCTTTCTAAATCCTGAGTAAGCTTTAAATATAGAAGGACAATTTGAAAAGAAACATTTTTAATGTAATTGCGAGCCTTCATAGAAAGAATAAATTATTCTTAAATGTTGACATAATTCCTTAATTGAATGTCCAACATAAGTACAGTTTGTACACATAGGCGTCTTGAAGATGAATGTCTCAATTAATAAAAGCAAAAAAGTCAATTTCAATTAGTATAAAAAAATTCAGTATATAACCGTAGAATAGTCAAAATTGAGATTAAATTTATGTATCCATTTGATTTTGCAGAAGTGTATATACTTCTCTTACGCGTGGAGTTACAGGACCATTGTTTATTTTGTAAAAATATGTTTCTAGAAATCGTTAAAAGCTTACCAGATTTGAATCATATTGTGTATTAAAAACAAAATGACTTTTAAATAAACTGTCAAAAGCGTTCACGAAACTATGTGCATGAAGAAAAATAAACTTGTTGTCTATGTTTAAAAAGTATTGAGCCACAGCTGTTTTGGTAGAACTTACAGCGATTAAACGTGGTTGAGTCTTTTCTCTAAACTCTGATTCTAAAGGTGTACCGTTCTGAAACAAAAAAAAATAAGAAAATATAGCATTATATTAGACATATACACTTTCGACATAACAAAAATTATTAAATATATTCTATTAGATATATCTTTTTAAATAAAATAATTTTTTCCAAAACATTGGTTGACTTTTCTCTTGCAGCTTTATTTTTTCCTCTAGCTGTTAGAGGAACAAGTCGACATAACGCTAAAATAGCTCTTGTATGTTTATCTTAAGCTGAAAAATTTCTCATATATTGATAAATGTTGAATTTATATTGTTATATAAAATTATAGTAACTATATTAAATATATTTATTACCTTCTCGCAATTTATCTACTGAAGGATATATTTCATGAGATCAATCTTGGAAAAAACTCAGAATAATTTCATAATATCTAGTAAATTCTTTTAAGAAAAAGTCATCATATTTGGGAAATAAAAGTTTGTATTCTTCTTCAATCTACAAAAGAAAACTACTAAAGAATTGTATATATTTTAGGTATTATATATTATATATATTATTGTGGGAACGGCGTAGGTGGCGCCGACACAACTGACGCTACCGACGCGACGGACAAAAAACTGTATGACGTAAGCAGCAAGATGCGCGAAAAGGCAAGAGGGGGCGTAGTCTAACTAGAACGACGAGACGAGANGTGTAGACGATTATTAGCTTGAAATCTGAAATTTTCTATTATATTATATATCTTCTCACGCTTTGTATCAGTATCAATAAACGGCTTCTTTTACACTTTAACCGATTCCTACAAATATTGGGGGCTCGTCCGGGATCTGGCCGAAGAAAAAGAGCCGAAGGTGCAACGACGATCCGAGCGCGCCACGTNGATAGAAATTTTGAGGTTAGAATTGACGAAACGACGACGAGGGTGAGAGCTTCTTCCAAAGGTAAAGACGACAAAAACCATAAAGACGATGGAAAGGCTTGAACAAATCAAGGTAATCGCCAATAACCTTAAAACGAGTTCGACGAAGGCTATAAGGGCACTGCACAGGTTAGTGTTCGAGAAAGAAGGAGACCGCGGCAATAGGAAGCGACTGCGTGAGTTCGGTGGCTTTACATTCGCTAGCGGATCGGAAGAGTATAAGAATAANTTAGCATATGCGGAGGCAGCCCTCGGCTGGGGAGATTTAGTTGCAATCTGTAACATCTTGGCAATTGACTACGCAGGTACGAAGAGAGAGTTGCAGCAGCGAATATGCGACTACCTGATGGATCTCGATTCGCTTAGCAACGCAAACGACGACAGAAGAGACGCTGAAGAAGACGCTGTGGAAGACGACGACGACGAAGCTCACGACGACGATAACGATGAAGCTCACGGCGAAGACGACGCAGAAGAAACCAACGCAGACGAAGATGATAATAGAACGAATAGCGACCACGAAGATGATCGACGAGCAAAGAAGACTGAAAAAACGACGATGAAGAATAAGTTCGCGATGACGTTCAGGGACGTGGAAGACTCGATCAGGCCTTTTAATGGAGATGACAAATATTCTGTAGCTCGTTGGATTTCGGATTACGAAGAGGTAGCCGAACTCTTCGGATGGACGGACNTACAGAAAACAGTATTTGCCAAGAGGTCATTAAAAGGTTTAGCCAAGTTATTCATTCAAGGAGAACGCGGCTTGAATTCGTGGANGAAGTTAAAGAAGGCGCTACAAGAAGAATTTGGCGACAAATTAAATAGTGCCGAATTACATAAACAGATGGAGAAAAGAAAGATTAAGAAAGACGANTCAGTGCGAGCATATTTTCTCGCTATGAAGGAGATAGCATCCAGAGGCGAAATAGAGCAGGAAGCCTTGTTTCAGTACGTTATCGACGGCATAGACGATCAAGCAGTGAATAAAGGTATCTTGTACGGAGCAAGAAATGCGGAGGAGTTTAAAGAAAAGCTGNAAGCATACGAGAAGATGAGAACGAAGAACGTAAGCACAACTAAGATATCGAATCCGACTGCTAAGAATAAAAAAAGTGCAAATCCAAAAGAAGAAGCTCGTTGCTTTAATTGTGGCNAGTTCGGACATAGATCAACTGCGTGCGATAACAGAAGCAAGGGTGCCAAATGTTTTAGGTGTAACGAGTTTGGGCATAAATCGTTCGACTGCAAGAAAGAGAAATCAAAGAAAGTAAAAGAAGACGACGAAGAAGAGACTAGAAAAGTTCGACTAGTAAATCCTAAGAGCATGTACAAGACGATTGAAATTCGAGGTGAAAAATTCAATGCTTTAGTAGATACCGGCAGTCAATTCAACATCATAAATAAAAGCTCGTATACTAAGGTAGGCACGCCGCCATTGTCAGACTCTAAGTTGCATTTCTCCGGATTCGGTGGAAGTAAGGTGACACCAATGGNATATTTTGAGGACGTTATTAAGACTGACGATGACTACTTTCAAGTAAAGATCTATGTAGTAGCTGATGACGCCATGACGGTGGAAACCATAGTCGGCAACGAATTATTGTCACAGGCTGAAATCAAGATAAACAAAGATAGCATCACCATCTNTAAAGTACACGAGATAAATAATATCCTTTCTCCGAATTACGCTATTGAATCCGATACGCCTGTCATAGGATGTACTATCTCCAAAGAGAAGAAGAAAGAAGTAGAGAATCTGTTGGATGGTTATGCACCAAAGAAGATCAAGACGTCTAACGTTGAGATGACCATTACCCTAAANGAGAATCAGAAGATTTGTGCGCGACCAAGACGATTACCATTTCCAGAGAGGCAAGTAGTAGCAAAACAAGTGAAGCAGTGGATCGATGAGGGTGTCGTCGAACCATGTTCGTCAGAGTACTCGAGTCCGGTCGTGGTGACTAAGAAGAAGGACGGAACACCACGAGTATGTATCGACTATCGTGCCATCAACCGGATCATNATGAAAGACCGCTATCCTCTGCCCCTCATAGAAGATATCTTNGACAGACTGCAAGACGCTCGCGTATACAGTTCGTTGGATTTAAAAAATGGATTCTTTCACGTTCCCGTGAATAAAGATAGCCAGAAATATACAGCGTTCGTAACGCATGGAGGGCAGTATCAATTTCGAAGAGTACCGTTTGGCTTGTGCAACTCGCCAGCTGTCTTCCAACGGTTTATCAACGACGTATTTTACGACATGACAGTGCAAGGAATCGCATTGCCTTATAGACGACTTAATAATACCGGCGAAAAACGAAGAAAATGCTGTGGAAAAATTAAAGCTGGTACTGAAACGAGCGGAAGAATACGGTCTAGAAATTAACAAGAAGAAGTGCCAGTTACTGAAACGACGCATAGAATTTCTAGGACATGTCATTGAGAATGGAAAGTTGTATCCCTCACCAGAAAAGAAAAGCAGTCTTAAAGTTTCCTAAACCAACNACGGTTAAGCAAATACAGAGCTTCCTTGGCTTGACGGGATACTTNCGCAAGTTCATCCCGCATTATTCCAGGATCGCTAAGCCATTAAGTGACTTATTAAAGAAGAATCAAGCTTTCAGATTCGGGAAAGAAGAAGAGGACGCTTTTAGAAGATTGAAACGATGCCTAACCGAGGAACCCGTTTTGAGCATTTACAATNAAGACTATGAAACGGAGGTCCACACCGATGCCAGTCAAGATGGGTATGGTGCGGTGCTGCTACAGAAGCTTCCCGAAGACGGTAAACTACATCCAGTGTACTTCATGAGCAAGAAGACGACGGAGCCGGAAAGGAAATATTCCAGCTACGAGCTTGAGGCATTAGCTGTTGTAGAAGCCTTGAAGAAGTTCCGAGTATACCTTCTGGGCAAGACCTTTAAAATTATTACGGATTGTGCTGCATTCCAACAGACGATGCGGAAAAAGGACCTTACACCACGGGTAGCACGATGGGCTCTCTTCCTAGAAGAATATCACTACAGTATCGAACACCGATCTGGATCTCGCTTGAANCATGTAGACGCGCTTAGTCGTTATCCAGTAGCGGCGGTGGAAGCTGTTCACGACGTTATCCCTAAATTGAAAAGGGCGCAAGAAGCGGATGAAGCTATCAAGGATATCAGGACACGACTAAAAGACGGATCATTTCAAGATTTTATAGTGCGTAACGATCTGGTGTACAAGTATGCAAATGGCTGCGAGCTTATCATGGTTCCTAGTGCTATGCAGGACGAAATCATAAAAAATGCACACGAACATTTTGCTGCCAAAAGAACTGAGGAGGAGATAAAACGGGAATTCTTNATCCCAAACCTCCATTCTAAAGTCGAAAGATGTATTATGAATTGCGTCAAATGTATTCTANTTAACAAGAAATCAGGCAAACAGGAAGGATACCTGCACCCGCTGAGTAAAGGGGACGTTCCTTTGCACACCTATCACGTGGATCATCTAGCACCGCTAGAAACGACCCACAAGAGTTACAAGCACATCCTAGCCATTGTCGACGCATTTACAAAGTTTGTGTGGCTATATCCCACTAAGACGGTGACATCAAGAGAGACGATCGAAAAGCTGGAGCTGCAGAAGAGTATTTTTGGTAATCCGAGTCAGATTATTTCAGATCGAGGCACCGCCTTCACGTCGACCGAGTTCGAAGATTACTGTCGCGGTGAAGGCATAGAGCACATCAAAGTTACAGTCGGTCTGCCCAGAGCCAATGGATAAATCGAGAGGATCAACAGGACGATCATTCCAGTGTTGGCCAAAATGACGATAGACGACCCCACGAAGTGGTACAGGCATGTTGCAAAGGTNCAACAAGTTTTGAATTCAACCTACCAACGCAGTATCGACACCACTCCGTTCGAGCTGTTAGTGGGCACCAAAATGAANACCAAAGAAGACCTCACCCTGAAGGAAGCCATTGAGCACGAGATGACTCGTCATTACGATCATAACAGGAAGCAGCGGAGGGATGACGCCGAGAAGCAGATTGAAAAGATTCAATGCGAGAACAAGAAACGCTACGACTTGCGACGAAGAGANGCCAACAAGTATCATATTAATGAGCTAGTGGCTATAAAACGCACCCAATTTGGACCTGGATTGAAATTAAAACCCAAGTACCTAGGGCCGTATCGCATTACCAAGGTGAAGCCCTACGATACCTACGAGGTTACAAAGATTGGAAGTTCTGAGGGACCCGCTAAGACTACTACGTGCGCAGAACATATGAAGAGATGGATCACTCCAGA